TTTAAGTAATGTGGAGAGTCGCCTATTTGGGACTTTGTTAGAGCTTCCTGTCCCCTTTGGAGCTATGAGGTAGAGAGACTTCTGGGCAGTAGTTAATGAATGGTCTAGTTTGGTATATTCAAAACAAAATAGTAGCTGGTAGTAAAACAACTCTGAAATGGTTTGCAGCAACCGTGACACCATACCTGTTCTAACCGATGGCAGGGAGGTGCAATTGCTTGCTTTTGGGGACTCTTAGACCTGAGAAGGAAGCACTGAGGGTGACATCCACAGCTTATACCGCTTTTCTGAATGTCCTGTGGCCAAATGGTATAGGTAATATTTCCTTATTTCTTCCTAACAGTTACAACTGAATTCTGGTTCAATCTCTGAAATTATACAGTCTGATATTCTAGCTGGAACCATAATTAACAGTAATATTGCTCTTATACAAAATATTTTTTGATTTCCATCCATGTCTACATTAAAGACAAGCTTTGGATTTTTGTCTTTTCTCAGAGTTAATGAGGCCAGCAAAAGGAAATTGTTATTACTGTTGTTATAGTGAAGGTTTTCAGAGGATGCATCCATAGAGTCAGGCTGATTAGTTCCCTTAAGTGTTTATACCTTTCAGTTTTTCCCAGTTTCAGTGGAAGGCAAACAAGTTCATTTACTTGCAGGAGAAAATATGTACAGAAAGGACTAGAATTGCAGCTCCCTTAATATGGACACTGCACCAAGTTTCATTCCCTCTGCATGAAAATCCTCTGTCATTATCTGTGTGGGATTTATGCTCTTATATACCCTCCTGCCAAATACACAGCATACCCTGGGAACTTGTTATAAAAGACAAACTGTACTGTATTTTTGTAATTATTCACCTTTCTGTGTTGAATGTTTGCAAAATAATGTTGCATGGCCAAAAGAAAACTCTGATGGAGCTTTGTGGTTATTTTTGTGCTATAAGAGTTGCTGATGACCCTTTCTGTGTCACATTAGTGAAGGTAGAAGTATGTTCTATTAACTACAGTGTTTGAGAGAGCCAGCCAATTCTTCAGGGTCTGTTTGTGTTCACACATACATTTAAATTTAGCATCCCTTCAGTTTTCACCACTGTTGGTGGGTTTTGATTCTTGTGCATTTGAGTGTTTCTGTAAATCCTTGTAAATGTCAAAGGTGAATTCCCTGGAAACTTGCTGTTTCTAAATACTCTTAAGAGTTACAAGTGTAGATTAAAACGATGTATTAAATATTCCTTAGGTAAGCTTTCTTTAACTCACAGCTTAGTAGACTTCCCTGTGGTGGCTACTTAAACAGTGTGAGTGCAAAACCAACTCTATTAAATCAAAGGATTTCCTGCAAATCTGCAGTCCTGTGCACACTCTGGGAAACACAGTGGTGACAGACTTGGTGAAATAGGCCTACTTAAGCTAAGTATACTTTGTGGGTGAAAATATTTAACATTTTTATTTTTAGCAAGCTAAAATCTTAAGTGACAGTTCTCATGTCTGCATAGAACAAGCAGTTCATTAATGTAGTGGATAGATTGGTTCAGAAAGAAGGATTTCCAACCACAAATTTCCTTTTCTTAATTTCAACACCTGGGGATTTGTTTAAAAGAATTGGTCATCCAGTAAATGTGATCACACAAAATGAGGTAAATGACAAATAACTGCCTCCTCCTTCGTCCTCCAGAAACACACATTTGGGGCAGTGTGCAAGGTCGTATGACCTAAAGGATATGATGAGTTAATGCCAGGTAGGATAGATACACTGACTATTTTACCCTGATGCTATCAGATAAGGTAAGAGTGCTGTGATGTATTTGAAGACAGTGGTAACAGTGTTCACCACTGCCCTATCATTCATTCTTTTCTTATTTATGAGTATTCTGCCAAAGTAAGCAAGATCCAAACCGCCAACAAATGGGGCCAGTTAACATGATGAAAACAGATCCAGAAATAAGCATTAGTTTTCTGATATGATTTTTCCCCATAATCCTCATGTCCTGCAAACAGTGTTTTCCTGGTCTTCTTGCCATCCTCCATCAGCTGATGACTGCATCTCCATTTTCCTTGATAATACCATCTTTGTTCCACAGAGTTCCTCATCATGCTGATAAATCAGGCAATCCAAGCTATAATCTCCCAGTTGCAATTTTTAATCTGTGTTTGTTTTTGTGACTGTGCTGCATTTCAGACCTAGAGGCTTTGTGGACAATCCATGGTAGCTAGAGCTTGTTCATGATTCTTCCTCTAAGTGAGGAAGCAGCAGGCAGATAGGTAATATAACAAAGGCTTTACCTTGTGGAAAAGAGGTCTTTGAAAAGTGTAAAGTAACAAAAGACTTTTGAGAACTCCTCTCTCTGGCTGCTAAATGTCCACTCTCTCTTTTGCTTTTCCATTTTAACTGGCAGTTCAAATGCCTGACAGCAGGATGCCTTACTGCAGCATTCAGGGCATTTCCAATGCGCAGTTTCTCTTACTGTATGCAGGTTCACTTACTGTGTCCTTCCCTAGACATCTAGGGCAGGAGCTCAAGGTTATTGGTACATGTTCAGTGGCTGGTTAGTTGCCCATCACGTGGCCAGAAATTGCACATAGGTTTTGCAGGTTATTTTAAACCAAATGGTTACATTTCCCAATGCTTGTTTCTGCAAGAGTATATTTTCTCCAATCTGAAACATGTATGCTAAAGTAGAGCAGAATGTACAGCAGCATTGCACAGTGTTTAGTGTGTGACCTATTTTCCTTATCTTTTAGATACATTTATGAAGGCCCCTGAGGATTATCATTTAGTTAAAACAATTTTTCTTGCATCAATATTGCTAGAAATCAATGCAAGATATGTTTGTGAGTTCTTGTAAAATATTTATTTTTTCAGTATTCTTGGAAGAGGTATTTTTTAATTATTTCCCACTGATCTAAAATAGAGGAATTAAAATATCTCTCCTATTTCAACAACTTTATGTAAAACTGGGAAGTTTTTTGCATCAGCTTTGTGAGAAGCACATACAGTTACTATATTTACAGCAGACTTGAATAGTATTGTTTTATTGCAATATTAACATCTTTACTATTTAAGCTAAATTAATGTGCAGAAGTGTCATTAAAACAGCTTTTCAATGAAGATTTTCTTGTGAGCAACAGCTGTATGCAGCACTTACATGGTGGTCTCTTCCTCCATTCCTCTGTACTATTTGCAAGGTTTCCTTAGAACTCTTTTAGTTTTTAGGTGATGGAGGGTTCTGCCAAGCAAACCTGGGACAGATTTACCCTCTCTGAGACAGTGTCCTCTGGGCATACATTGCAAGCATAGCTTTGCCAAGACATCATTTAGAACTCAAAATACCCTCAAGCTTGTAGGCTTAGATGTGAAGTAGAAAGGCTTATTACTGGAAGAGGCATTTTTCAGACTCCACAATGAATGTGAATCATTACTGTTTCTTCTTTTCCTCTGGCTTGTCACAAAATATCAGACTTAGATGGAAAGCAGGATTATTTGGTTTTAATTTGCTTTCAAGTGTGCATGAAGTGCATCTGGTTTCAGGAATGGAGCCAGTTGGTCACTGCCTCTTTTGGGAGGCAGCAGGGTAGGAGAGGCTATTATCAGTGATGGATGTAATCTATTGGCAGTTGGTTTTGTAAATTAACTTTTGCAGTCATTATTAGTGGAAGACACTCAAAAGAAATCTTCAAAGTTGTTTTCATGTTAACCATGATGTTTACCTCTATTTTTCTGGACGGCAATCTAAGATGATTCTTACTAGCAATCCATACACACTTAATCTGCATTGATAGTAACAGATGAAACAGCATTGTTCTTGAAATAGGTAGAAAGTTCATATCTAAAGTCCATGCTGCCGGAGGGAAGCAGCAGCAGGGCAGCAGGGATGCAGCTGAGGCTTGGCCTGGCTGCGGGCAGCGGGTGCCTCTCAGCGCCAGTGAGGTCAGTAAGGCCTGGGAGGTGCTGTCAAGGTGTGGTGTTACAGTACTTTCTGTAAAGAAGGAAGAGGAGATAGAGAACATTTTCTTCCTTCTTTTTTTTTTTTTGCATAACTTGATACAGACTAAAGTTCAGTACAATTATTGACGCTAAAAGTGAGGTTTCTCTCATGACTGCCATCACTGGGCAGATACGTGAATGAGGTTGGCAAACTCTGACATCTGAAGTACGAATATAAGCTTTCTCTAGTTTAATATCCCTTCGGCCAGTTTAGGTCAGCTGTCTTGATTCTGTCCCTTCCAAGCAACCTGTGCTCCTCAGCCCTCTCACTGGCAGGGCAGTACGAGATGCTGAAAAACTGAAATGTCCTTGACTCTGCAGCAACTAAAACATCGATGCATTATCGACACTGTTTTTCTCTTAAAGCCAAAAAATAGACAAACTCTATTAAGAAAATCAACTATGTCCCAGCTGAAACCTGGGCAGTGTTAAATTACTGCATCAGAGCTGAACTAGAACTCTGAACACGCTTTGTTTTGTTTTAAAAATACCCAGGACGGTGTACTTTGTTCTCCTAAAAGTTAGTACGTATTATGGAGCATGGTGTGTAGTGGTACACATAGGTGTGTAAAAATAGATGGAGAAGTCTTCATGTCTAGCTTTGGTTAGATGAATGCAAACTGGAACTTTTTTTAGAAATAATAACTGAAATAGAGATTGTAGACATATTTCAGTATATTTTGCTTTTTCGTGTCTGTGAATCATTAGTGATGAAGCATTCTTAATAAACTGAATTATGTGTTTTAAATATTGAGATGGAAAGGCCAACTTATTCAAGATTACCTTCTGCATTTATAACCATGAACAACACAAAAAATCATTTATACTCAGAATTGACCTTTGCAACCTTCCTTGCACTCTGTGTAAAAGTAGCACGAATTTAAATGCCTGACATTTGAATGAACAGGAGAAATTTGCCTTTACAATGCTTTCCAGACTCTGCAACATCACAGAAGAAAAGCTATTTTCCTAAGTTGGTGCTCTTTCTGAGGTAGGCTTTTGATCTGTTTCCACAGGTTTTCAATACATACTCCAATGAAGACTATGACAGGAGAAATGATGAAGTTGACCCAGTGGCTGCATCAGCTGAATATGAACTCGAGAAGCGTGTGGAAAAGCTGGAGCTTTTCCCAGTTGAACTAGAAAAAGGTATGTAGTCTGTGCGCCCCTTCCAGTTCATATGAAATCGATCTACAAGTCTGAGGTAGTCCACATGCTTACATAGCCAATCTCTTGAGTTTCCTTGAATCCCTAATAATCACCTTGGCTTTTTGGATTTCAGTAACTATTCAGTGAGAAATTAAAAGAACAGTTGAGAAACATGCAGTTCCTTATTTTCCTACAATAATTGTTTTGTGTCACTCCAGTAACACATGATTTTATGATTTTATGCAGTGGTTTATGTGATATTTTCATTCTTCCCTGGAAAAATAAAAATCTTTGATTATTGTTCTAAGTTCCTCAAGGGGGCAAAGGTAATATTTTTGTGCATAACTAATGCAGTCAAATAACAAGATTTTTAAAAAGAATCAAAAGGAATTAGCACTGTTTACATGGCAAATCAAGAGAAAACAAAGCATAGATGTTTACCTACCAAATAACTGTATAAAATCAAACTTAATGAGTTTCTACTTTCACTTTTCTTTTTCACAGATGAAGATGGACTTGGCATTAGCATTATTGGAATGGGAGTTGGAGCAGATGCAGGCCTTGAAAAACTGGGAATATTTGTCAAAACAGTAACAGAAGGTGGGGCAGCAGAAAGAGATGGCAGGTAAAGTAGAGTCAGTATTTGGAAACTCTCCCAGTGTTAATTATCATGAATTATGATTTCCACAGGAAGGAACTGTTAGCTAAATGTATATCATGATAACGGAAAGCAGTAAAATCCTGAGGCTATTGGTAAGGTTCAAATACCTGAGGTGGTATAAGAAAATACACTAATTTTGGTGCAAGGGTTAGACTGTTAAAGAATAGATTTGCAAAGGATGCCTGTTTGTGGCTACCTGAAAACTGACGTGCTATGGCTTGAGTAAAGCTGGAGATTCCACATTGTACATCACTGCTGAAGATAGTTTTGAATGATTTTGAGCTTTCACATGCTTTCTTGGCTTCAAACCAACTTTAATCAATTAGTGCTTATGAAAAACATTTCTGCTCAACATATGATTAGGAAAAGAGTTCAGTGTTTCTGAGCTATTAACTTATTAAATACACCTCCTTGTAAGCTTACTAGCACATAGTGTCACTTTGTATTTCTAAATATGTGTAATCTTCAAAATTCGGTTTTTACCCTTACAGGACCAAAACTACATTACTCGATTGAAGTGGGAATCAGCAACATAAATCTTTCCATTAAATAAATGGGTTAGGGTTTACAGTGCTCATGTAAAACCTGACTGCTTCTAAAATTGCTTATTTGGTATGTGCAATTCAAATAATTCCTTTCGAACATATGATGGCTGCTCCAGAAGTACTGCTTCCTATTTTATTATGCTGACTCAGAACAGCAGAAGCAGATGTTGATGGTATGGCGGTCAAGGTTGAACCTTCCCACCAGTATTCCATTACATTTTGTTGCCACATGAAAGATGGCAGACAAGGGACTGTCTGACAGAATGGTATCTGACATGGAAATGTGTATGAAGCAATGGTGAGGAATTGAATTCAGCCTTAATGATGAATGCCTTGTCCTCCTGTGCAGACTTTGGAAGTAATGTGTACTACTCATACTGCATACTTAAAAATACCAGGTTTCTGCTGTAGAAACACTATACAGATTAAATCAGCACACTCTACCTGTCAGTTTACAGAGTTTAATAACATTGCTCTGAAACCGTTCAAGTATAACCTCTTCCAGTCTGGGCTTTCAGTATCTCTACAAATTTTGGCAATAAGATCCCAGCTTGAAGGCCAAGTACTGATTTATCCCAGGCTTAAAAAGTTATGAAGGGAAGTAAAGATGCTGACATCTCCGGATGTCATGAATTCATTCATTACTTAAAATTTAAGTGAATGTTTATTCTGAAAAATATGCTTGAGCTCAACCAAAAGGCATTAAGCTCACTACTGGCATTCTGTGTGACATTCTCTGGTTGAAAATCAGAGTAGCTCACACTTGGTCTCTGATAATATGTATTTTCTGTTCCTCTCATTATTCACATGTCTTGAGTGGGCTCCAGAAGTTAATGTTCAATTACAAGTCTCTTCTTTCTTTTCCCTAGATGGCATCTGAGAGGAGCTTGTCATCTGAGAAAAAAAATGATATGTTTCTTTGGCTATTCTACTATTTGTGTTGGTTTCCAACTGTATGAATGTTCAGTCAGCTGAGAAATAGCCCTCTCATTTTCTCTTTGAGAGCCTGACTGATCATTCACTTGAGAAAGGGATACGTAATCCTCTCAGTCAGGAGCAGCCAGTTCTGTAATAAAGTGCACCAACTGTAAAAGGTCCTGTTAACTTCATCCTTTTGAAAAGCCTAGTTAATCATTAACACTGATAGCAAATCAAAATTTCTGAACAGAAAATAAAATTGTTTTTCAGCAGTTGGATCAGGTATTCTGAATAACTTTTCAGCAACCTTGAAGCAGGCTCTCTGAAGTTCTAATTTTAAGCATTACAATATCTGTAGGATAATGCCTATCATTTATTGAAAGACCTATCAAGTCATGGAATAAAATACTTGAAGACACAGAATCTGTACAAAAGTATATCGCAGTGTTTGAGCACCACTGGATTGATTCAAGTTGATGTAAACAGGTAGCATTCAGCTGTCATATTGAAAGGCATTGTGTAGAAGTATTTAACCAAGGTCAGTGCTTTGATAGAAATCCAAATGAAAGCACGCTAATAAGTAATGAGAGATTATTAATAGCGTGTAAAATATAAAATCAATCATTGGACTAAATAAGAAAAATAAAATTCTTGGCCAATGTGATAGCTTTTTTTTTTTTCAAATGATGATGGCGATGAGTCATTTTAAAGTATTTTGAGAACATCAAGAACAACTGTTTTGAAACATTACACAGTTACTAACATGAAAAATACTCTGAACTTTGCCTCTGCATAGGTTATATTTTTCACTTCATCACACAGAGCAATAATTATGCTAGTATTTATTTGACTTCCTTTGGTTCCACTTCATAGAACTGCTGCTTCACATAGGTAGAGTTTTAAGTCACAGCCATTAGAAAATAATTGTCAGAAGAATTACCAATTTAGTTAATGATGAAAGCAGTTAAACCTTTATAATCTAGGCTTTGCCAACATGAGTCTAATTCTTCTTTCATGTTGGAAATTAGATTTGAGGGACAGGAAGCCTACAGCTCCAGGTGGAGGGGGCTGCGGAGGGAATTTCTAATCAAAAAGGGAAGGCTGCCCAGAGAACAGTGCTCTGAGGACATTTTGGTCCATAGAGCGGCTGGGCTTGTCTGGCACTGACCATGTGCAGAGGATTAGGGCCAAGGTATGGATTGGAGAAGTCCAGAGCTGTAGGGGGAGCGGGGCTGGAGAGTGTTTTAGTCTGGGCAGCACTGAATGTACACGGCAACAGACAGGAAACTTCTTGAATTACATGTAATTATACAGTTAGATAATAATTGTGTTAATTGTATGTGGTGTGATATATATGCATGTTTAGGTATAATTAAAATTTGTCTATATCTTGAAAGAGAGATTTTGAAGGCAATGGTCATAAAAATAAAAGCTGGAATTGAATGTAGGAGCTGAACAGACAAGGAGATACAAAACACCCAAAGAACAAATGGAATCAGACTCAATTGCAGTTCATTAACAAAACTGCAAACAACAGTTCTCTAAAATGATATTTCATCACTTGAAATGCTATGTATCTGTATGAACAATACTAGTGCACTACGTCATAAAGTATGTGAAGCATGGGAGCTGAACTACCTTTACAAAGGAATCTGTTCCTCTTCCCTTTAGTTTTCAGGCAAGAGAGTGACAATTTTCTCCTCACTGAGCACCAACTTCTTAAATTTTCTTTCTTGGAGCACCTGCAAGCTATCTGACTGCAACTCATTATGCTAAATTACAAGAAAAATATTAATTTTTATATAGTATCCAAATACAATAGATATGAATATGATACATGTTCATATTATTATATATTATATCGTATTTATTAAATATAATATATTATATTGTATTTATTAAATACAATACATGGTTAAATCAGAATTCTGAGATCAAGATGCTTGCTGTGATTCTAAGCTAGGAGTTTGCAAGCTGTTTCAAAGTTCGTTTTTTCAAGATTTCATATGTACAGAAAGGAGAGATCCTGCCCAGAGCACACTGGCATTCTGTGATGTGAAGCCTCCAAAGCATAGATCTCTTAATTCTTACCTCATCAGCAGAGTCAGAAGAACTGGAGTTACTGTTAGAACACATGTAGAGCTGCAAAGCATTGTCTCAGATTTGACAGTGAAATTAGTTTCTCAAGTCAGGATACTTAAGTCTCTTTCAAAGGCTCTGCTGTGAAAGTTTGTCTTTGAAAAGAAATCAAAGATTTTTTCAAAGCTGTTTCTTGATTCCTGTATAAACTGTCTTGTTTAGATGGTAACGTCTGTGTAAATAATTAAAAATTGCTCGTTTTGATTACCTCTGGATGTGAGGTTTTGCTCTTGTATTGTAATTATTTTTTAAATGAGACAAGCTTGTGTATCACTAGAGGACAGTTTAACATATCAATCCTCCTTCTAAATGTTTTAATGTAGAGAATTCTTATGCCAGCTCTAGGGACTTCATACCAGTGCTCATTTCAGATAAAAGCAGCATTTTTTTAATTCCTCCTAACTTTTCTGCATCAAACAATGTATCAGCTATAAACCAGTATTTGAAAGAGATAGTCCTTGTTAAAATAGTCCAAGGCCTTATTGTATTGTGCCCTGTGATTGGTCTTACATTGGGAATTCATCTTTTTGGAGCAAGATAGATGAAATATTTTAAGAGAGTAGGTCACAATGATATCTGATGCACACGCTCTTTTCCCTACAGACGAGCAGGTTGTTTTAGTTAAACATCACAGTTTTTTCCATTAGTGTGAAATACCAAAGCTATGTCTTATGCTGTTTTCCAAGATTGGCTTCGGAAAGAATGATAGAATGAATAGACAGTTCAAGTTTCTCATTTAATTTAAGTCATACGACAAAGGCAGGAATTTGTATTGCTGTATTTATACAAAAGGAAAACATCGGATGATTGAAGCTGTAATGGTAACTTTGAATCGGGATTTATGAGATATGCAAACAGTTTTTCATTGCTTCCTTGCTAATGTTTCCTATTATTTGCCAGTATTTCAGATGGTACAGTCCCAATTCAGGAAGAAAGTCTTTTGAATTGTGTGATTATTTACCTCAATCATGTTATGATTGAGTTTTTGTTCAAAATCAAGCTAAAATCTCTAAGTTTAGTTGAAAATACTCCAAGAACTCCTTAACTTATTTATATATTTGTGTTTTTCCCTGAAAGGATCCAAGTGAATGACCAAATTGTGGAAGTTGATGGCATCAGTCTGGTTGGCGTTACACAAAATTTTGCTGCAACTGTTCTTAGAAACACTAAAGGGAAGGTCAGGTGAGTATTGTAGAAGCAAAAAAAAAAAGGTGATTGAGTGTTTAAGGTTACCGGACTTCCCTCACAGGAGAAGCATCCTATTTAGGTAGAAGCAGAAATTTTTTGTGTCTTTGTCCCTTCTCTGCTGTCTGTGGCACTGCCCCAGGGCCAAAGAGTAAGGCAGTGAGCACACCACTGCTCCCAGGTGCAAGCATGGCAGGGAGAGGGTGGTATGGGGGGCAGCAATCCTGAGAGCTGCTGGTGTGGGGAGAGTAACAGCCCTGTATTGGCTCATTGTGTTGCCCCAGTCTCTGCACCATCTCTGAGTTTCTATCTCTGTGCTCCTATGCTGTGGTTAACTGAAAAGCATCACTGCAAGTATCTGTAAAATGCTTAACAACCAAGAAAATGAATGTAAATACAAGACCATAAAATGTTTGTAAATGTGTAAGAATGTTTCCTGAGAAATGAATTGTCAAGCCGTTTAAAAACATATTCTGTTACATAGATTTTCTGTTTAATAGCTTGTTAATTTCAGCAAACAATAATTGTGCAAAATAATTCCAGAAAAATCTTTGGCATTTTTAGCAGCCTTTCTAAAGCCACTCTTTGGTTCTCTCTTCAAATCCTCTCTGATGAATACAGCTGAATTCTTCTGAGTTCAGGCCTCACTTTTGAATCATGACTGAAGTACTGGTTGCAATAGATGCAGCTCCCACAGCCAGTGGTGTTCTATGCTGCTGTGCAGGTTTCCACAGAAATTCCATGGCTGTTCGTTTACAACATTAAGGAATAATACTGAAATCTAAATTCTGTAAAGAATTGTGGAGGTGGTTGATCAAGTTTTTGCCAGAAGGAAGTTATTTGGGAAAAAAAAATTCAAAATTGTAGTGTAATTGCAGGCAAGTATATTTTTGTGTAACATTTACAGTTGTAGCTACATCAGTTTTATTTCTGCAAAGACAGAACACATGCTGTGAGTTTACCTACTGACTTGAATACAAAAATGAGTATCGACTTCATTAGGTTTCTGCAGAGTTGGGACTTCTGAACATAAAATTCTTATGACAGAAAATAATGTATTCCCATGTTTCAGTGCACAGAACAAATGTTACTGTATTTTGTGTTTGATGTTTCAATTCAAAAAAAAAAAAAAAAGAAAAAGGAAAGTTCTGACCTAATCAACTTAGTCTGTGTAATTGTTATTGAATAAGTTACAGAACAGAATACTTTCCTTTATGGAAAAATAATGGATTTGGAGAAAAGAAGAAATGTAAAATGATTTTCATACAGAATGCTCCCAGAATCTTCTCATGGGATATTAATTACAGTCAGACTGGTTGCAGTCTAGGCCCCTTTGTTATAAAATACCAGACACTAAAAAGTGTTTCTCCATTGTTGTTGAGCTCCCATTGTAAAGCTCACTAGTTATCCTGTACTCAGGGATCACTGGCTTCTGACAGGTCTCATTTATCAAGGAGAGATGTGTGAGTTTCTGCATCTTTCCTTGTGAGTAAGCTTCAGATATTGAGCTTTCACAGGAAAAATGTCTGTATGTATTAATATCACAACTAGATTTAAAAACACTCTTAAAAGCAAAAAAATTTTATAGATTATAATACAAAATATATCTGAAATAAGAGTAATACTTAGACTATTAAATATTATTAAATAAAATAGAAGTCAGAAGGATCTGTATGCATGCTGACATTCTGTATGGTTAGCAGTCTTTTACTAATTTACATATAATTAGGAAAAGAAACGAATTTGATGCAATTTCCTCTGGTTTTGTTTCATTTAAAATTTCACGGGGAAAGAAAAAAAAAAAAAGATTGTTCTGTTTTACACAAGCTGGTTGAGAAGAATGTGCTTCTTTTTTCCTGGTTTACTATAAACTGGAAGTGAGGCTGGTGATACTGCTGAGCATTCTGTGGCATCAGCATCCTTCCCACGTTCTGCTCAGGTACTGAGTGGCCATGCTCTACGGTGCTCTGCTGACACTGGAGGACTCTGGTGGGTTTTAGCTACTCAAAATTAGAAATATTTCCAGTCAGCTTTCCTTTTGGGAGATAGAGAATGCAGGATGGTTTGATGGTCTTGTCTTTACTATAGGTTTAAACATTTGCTTGTTAAGTAAGCTAGAACTGATACTAGTGAATTTAGATATGACCAAAAATTATGTATTTATATCTTGCCTTGTATCATCTTCTGTATGATACAAGGGCTCTGCCTGCTGTGTGTTTTGTGGAGAGAATGGTTGTTTCCTTTCAAATCCTCAATCCCAGGTACAGCTGTGGAAGAGATGAGATGGAAAAGTCATCTATCTCCACTGTCTGTGAACCAGAACCTTGGGAGCAGCATAAGAGAGTCTTTTGGGCAGAATCCCTCACATACCCCCAGCCCTTAGCTCCTGCCTGTCTGAAGTGTGAAGGGCAGTGCTACTGACCTTTACATGTAGTCGTTGTGTTAGTAGCTGCCATTAATGATCCATGTCACCAGGGGAGGCAGGAGTAGTGGAAAAGGTTGTTTGCTGAGCTATCTTTGGAAAAGAAGAGAGCAGTAACCTGCTGTATAAATACCTGCTACCTTTCCTTCTGCAGATGTCCCATCTGAACTACAAGTGTGCAGGCAGTGTGCAGTCAGACACCCTAATTCACACAGCTTAATTCAAAACAAGGCAACTTCCTGGATCTGTCCTTCACAGGAGAAATCACACACATACTTGTGTGCAATTTAACAATGTCAGAGTGATGGGTTTTACAGAATTGCTTTAATAAGCATAGTTATCTTAGTGATTATTGCATGAACTGCATATATCTTTCTTCTGCCTGGTATCCTGTACACAGAGAGATACAGTGCATTTCACTGGCATCACCTCCTGTGTTACCCCACAGTATTACTTATATGCAGTCATGTTACCCTGATTCTAAGCAGAATGCATGCTAGTTTTGGTAGGAAAGTTTATTATATGTGATCAGTTGCAAGGACGTTCATGAGAAGAATGACAATAAAGCTAGATTTTAATATTTCACAATCAATACCTCTTCAGGAAGCTTGCATAATACCAATACTTAGTGATTTGTTTTTCTCCTTTGATCCTTCAGAACATTTTGAACGATCCTGACAGTGGAAGTCATTGACCTAGAATAGATTTTGCAATGTTTCTGCCAGAAAAATTTATCCAAACTGTCTGTAGCTGACATAGTAAGGAATCTGTGAAAATGGAGACATGACTTTTACCTTTTGAACTGTTCTCGTTGAGGGGGATGGGGAAAATGAGCAAACACAAGCATCTATTATTATCTTATCCACTGTTTGTAGTACTGAACTATTTGGAAGGATTGTCATTCCACAACAGAAGACCATTGATCCTACTAATTTGGCTTCTCCAGTAACAGTTAATTCCTCGATTCTTTCTTACGATGTTTTAAAGGAAGATAATCAGCATCCACCAGATGGACTCTGGTAACCCATGAAATGAAGAAAGGAGAGAGTTCTTCTGTAATCCCAGCTGGCAATCAGCTTCTGTGTTTAGGGCTGAGAATTAGTATCCCCGTGACTCTAATCTGGCAAATGCAACTATGAATGCTATTTTAATTCATGTAAATATCACGTCTTCTTTATAATTTTGATTAACTATTTGGTTTACTAATATCTTAGGGTATTTCAGAGTTTTGTTATATAAAAGAGAGATTTTCTTTCGAAATTTGTGTTCTTTCTAATTCTGTTGAGTGTCGCCCCTGCTCTGAGATTAATGAAGCAGTCAGAGGGCAGCAGCAGACTAATATCACTAACAGTTCTGTGCATCTTCTGACCCATTTAGGATCTAATCCTTCAACCTAGGTTAGCTAGTGGTGCCTAATATAATACAATATAAAGAGGCATCTTGACAGTGGTAATCCTATCCTGCCATGGTGATTCTCCAGCTTATTTTAGGTCCTAGCTTTCTTGTTCCTCATGGACTGTGGTGATCAGTAGCAGGTCTAAAGTTCTTCATAGTTGCTTCTGAGGTCTTGAGTGTGTTTGCTCTTCCCCCATTTTTAATCATAATGCAAGGGTGCTGGGGACCCTGATGGCATTATCAAAGAAAGTTCACATGGAAAGTCATGGGCTTCCAGGAAGGCTTTTTCTTAAACACAGTGCCACAAGAAAGAAAACCTAGTTTTTTAAGAGAGAAAACCATCTTTTTTACCATAAGTACCTAGCACCAGTCCTTCCTAGGACAAATGTGGAAGCTTTCAGTGGTGTCCAGAAAATAAAGGAACGGTTAGTGATTGGGTGTGACTTCACTTTGCAGCCTCACAAGATGCAAAATTTCATGCCATCCAGCTGTGGGAAGCACAAGGTCACAAGAAGAGAGGGTGAGATGCTAGGAAATCTTACTGGATTGATAAGAAGAAAAGAGTATGATTCAACTGAAAATCCCAGTTCTTCATATACTGCTTGCATGCTTTTATTACTATTGCTTTCTCCTGAAACATTTCTTTTAGCCAAATTCACTGTTATATTGGAGAGGAAGTTTTTAAATTCTGTGAACCTCCTTCCGTATCCTTCCTTCTGAATGAAACTAAGCATCCTCTCAGCCTCCAAACTGTTGCTAGGCATTGAGCAGATGCTCTCATGGTGCTTTCTTATTCAGCTCTTGAGTTTTTGGGGAACCCTGCATGCAGTACCTGTACAAAAGCTGTCACTTTTCTCTTGATTGGCACCACCTTGAAATTAATTATATTAATTCTAACCTACCAGCGTATTTACCAAATTCTGCTTCATTAAACTCCTCTGAATTGCCTCAAAGTCTTCCAATATTAATAAAGAAACTAAATAATTAGTTAGCAAATTTTGCCACCTTGCTGTTTAATTAATCTTCTCAATTGGTGAAGAAGAGTTTCCAACAATAGCAGTGTAGCTGTCAAACCCGGAGGCTTTCTACAGTTAGCAATTCTCTATTCTCATACAGAATCGTTTATTATCATTTTGTGTTTCTTCCTATCTGGACAATTTTAATTCAAAGCAGGATTTTG